ACACCTTATTCCTCTGTTTTACTATCAGTTTTCTTCTTGTTGCCGTATATCAATCCATTCTCCTGCCATCCATACACATAAAAGGAAGTCGAGTATCAGCTTTAATTTTAATGTTATCTTTGAAATTAAAAAAAAGAAAGAAATCAAAGGGCATTAAATCAAGCACCTGGGGATCAGGAATCGGTTTTCGTTTCTCTATGTAACGATAAGGATCTGAGGCTGCAAGAGCTGCTCTTTCCTGCAAAATCAACGGTAAATATTTTTTTTAAAGTGAGAAATTAAGTTCGATTTTGATGAATTGATTAGGGGAGAAACCTCTTGTTGTCTTTTGAGATCTTGAGAGGGTTTCACCCAAAGGAAATAAGCGAGAGTGCCGGCGACGATCCAAGAAGCTATATTGGGACCGCCTCGAAGACCGCCCATCTAATTTCCGATTAACGATCTCACATTTCCGATTCCTCTGCTCCAACTGCTCCTCCCCATGGTGGCCAAATCTGAAGGGTATTTTTCTTTGGTTCCTCCTTTCTGTTTTCGATAGGTTGATTTGAAAGTTGTGAAATAAAAATTCTAGTCATCAAACTTATAAAACTTATATTACAATCATTAAGCTTTTATATTATTATTAGTGTAAACTACACCAGATATCATTAAACTTTAGGTCGTGTATCAATTATATCACTAAAATTTTAATTTCATCGATCATATCATTGAACTTTGCTTTTAATTTCAATTATACCGCTAAGTTGTTAAATTTTAACAACACGATGGCGTGAACAAATCTTTTTGTCATTGTGATGACATAGACAAAATGACGTCGTTTTGACAACGATTATCGATGCTCAAAAAGAAATTATTTTAAACGTTGAATTTTAAGAGTGTCGATTTCGCCACTAAAATTTTAAATATATTACTTTTTGACACTGCATTTTTTCAGTCATCGTTGACATTCAATCATCTCCCATCACCGTTTGTCTTTTTTGGTAAGATCATAACCAAAACGTTCGTATTTCACTCCTCGTACTTCTCTTAAGATTGATTTTCCATGAAATTCAATCAAAATCGACGGAATTCTATTTAAAAGTTTGACGTGCTAATACTCTGATCTCTTCCAATGATCGTATAATGAGACTAATTTTAAAGTATGTTGTTCATCTTCTTGAAATAATGTTTCTCACCATTTGAATTTTTTAACAAATACCAAAATATATTAGGTCAAAAGTACAATTTATGTAAAGAGACATAGCATGAAGCTAAAGGTCAAAGTATATGGTACCAGGTAGGAGGTCATGCTGCGAGGCAATTAAAAAAGGGCTAAAAAATGGCGTGAACGGTTAAATAGGTGACCGGTTAAAAGCGCTACCAAAAATGTTATATGGTTTCACCGGAAATGTTATTTGTGTTGGTAATAATACTAGTAATAACCGAGAATGTTATCGTAGTATGTAAAATGCGCCAAAAAATTATTGACTTTAACATAATCGGTTAATTATTGGAAACATTATCAACCATAATAACAAATAGGTAGCATTTATGTAACGTAATAGGTAACGACTTGTTAAAGCTGATGGACCCTTAGAAATCTAACGATAACCAAATATGTTAATTATTTAATTTGTTATCAGTATTATCAACATATTAGATAATGCCTAAAATGTTACCAAATTTTAAGCTGATGGAGCCTTAAAAATCCAATGATAACATAATCAGTTAATTACTTGATTTGTTATCAACCATAATAATATATTAGGTAGCGCTTATGTAACGTCATAGGTAGCGCCTTTTTGAGTTGATGAGGCCTTAGAAATCCGACAATAACAAAATAGGTTAATTACTTAATTTGTTATCAGTATTATCAATATATTAAGTAACGCTTAAAATGTTATCAAATTTTAAGTTGATGGAGCTTTAGAAATTCGACGATAACATAACCGGTTAATTACTTAATTTGTTATAAAACATAATAACATATTAGGTAGCGCTTATGTAACGTAATAGGTAGCACCTTTTTAAAGCTGATGGGGCCTTAGAAATCTGACGATAACAAAATAGGTTAATTACTTAATTTATTATCAGTATTATCAACATATTAGGTAACGCCTAAAATGTTACCAAAATTTAAGCTGATGGAGCCTTATAAATCTGACGATAACATAACCGGTTAATTACTTAATTTGTTATCAAACATAATAACATATTAGGTAGCGCTTATGTAACGTAATAGGTAGCACCTTTTTAAAGCTGATGGGGTCTTAGAAATCTGACGATAACAAAATAGGTTAATTACTTAATTTATTATCAGTATTATCAACATATTAGGTAACACCTAAAATGTTATCAAAATTTAAGTTGATGGAGCCTTATAAATCTGACGATAACATAACCGGTTAATTACTTGATTTGTTATCAATCATAATAACATATTAGGTAGCACTTATGTAACGTAATAGGTAGTGCATTTTTAAAACTGATGGGGCTTTAGAAATCTGACGATAACAAAATATGTTAATTACTTAATTTGTTATCAGTATTATCAACATATTAGGTAACGTTGAAAATGTTACCAAAATTAAAGTTGATGGAGCCTTAGAGATCCGACGATAACATAATCGGTTAATTACTTGATTTGTTATCAACTATAATAACATATTAGGTAGCACTTCTATAACGTAATAGGTAGCGCATTTTTAAGTTGATGGGACCTTAGAAATCCGACGATAACAAAATAGGTTAATTACTTAATTTGTTATCAATATTATTAACATATTAGGTAACACCTAAAATGTTACCAAATTTTAAGCTGATAGAACCTTAGAAATCCGACGATAACATAACCGGTTAATTACTTGATTTGTTATCAACCATAATATCATATTAGGTAGCACTTATGTAACGTAATAAGTAGCGCCTTTTTAAGCTGACGGAACCTTTAGAAATTCGACGATAATAAAATAGGTAAATTACTTAATTTGTTACCAGTATTATCAACATATTAGGTAACACCTAAAATGTTACCAAAGTTTAAGCCGATGGAGCCTTAGAAATCCGACGATAACATAACCGATTAATTACTTGATTTGTTATCAACCATAATAACATATTAGGTAGCGCTTATGTAACGTAATAGGTAGTGCCTTTTTAAAGCTGATGAGGCCTTAGAAACCCGAAGATAAAAAATATGATAATTACTTAATTTGTTATCAGTATTATCAACATATTAGGTAACGCCGAAAATGTTACCAAAGTTTAAGTTGATGGAGCCTTAGAAATCCGACGATAACATAATCGGTTAATCACTTGATTTGTTATCAACCTTTATCAATGTATTACAGTGTACATTGTTTACGCATATTATCATGATACCGATTGACTTTTACCGTTTTCATTAGAAATTAACCTATTACTTTAAAGTAATAGGTTTCGAAATTATAAGTATGTATATATATATATATATATATATATATATATATATATATATATATATATATATATATATGTGTGTGTGTGTGTGTGTGTGTGTGTGTTTCGATATATTTTTGTGTGCAAATTGTTTGAGTCTTTATGTGGAATTAAAGTATCTAGACAGATATAACAAAGTATTGATACGATATGTTTACACTATTATCATTATACCGATATACTTTTACCGTATACATTGTAAATTTACATATTACTTCTACAATGCTCTTTATATATGAGTTATTAGAATGTTGAATTTACGCATAAAGACATTTACAATGCACTTCAAAGAGGTAAAACAAAAGAAATCGTCAATGAAGATGTCAATGCACTAATTGCTTACTTCAAACAGGTACTTGGAGTATTGATACTTGGAATTTCAAAACCTATTACTTTAAAGTAATAGATAAATTAACAATGTAAACGGATAAGTCAATTCTTTCTCAGAATCCCTCCATGTTGTATGCAACTACGAGCCATTTCCATATGTTCCCTTGTATCGTGTACTTGAACCTTGCCAAACAGTCTGTAGAATAGAGTCTCCCACAAGTCATGGCCGAAATATGTTATGTAGCTGAGATTATCCAAGTTAATCATGTTGACTGCATAGCCAATAAAATCCCCTTGCAAGGTCCAAATGGTAAGCTAAGAATTGGTAAAACATGTTTCCTTTATACAACCTACAATATCATTTTCTACCTATAATATTATATAAAAGTATCAATATTTATTATCTAAAATATCACTTTCTACCTGTAATCGGTCTCAAATGCTTCTTTACTTCGAAAACCCCAAACCTATAAACCTAACCCTATTTATGATTACTATAATACTAAAAAACTAGGGTTTCGACAACGTACTTTTCGATTCGATTGCAGCAACAAACAAACAACTACGCTTTCAAAAATGTATTGCTTCTATTTTGCAGCAACTAATACACTTCGATTTTGAAAACTACGGCCGTCTTCTATCTATTTTTAGAGGAAATGTTGCTATGCCTTTGATATTTTAACAAGATATGTTATTTATATTTAATCGATACAATTACCCAAGTCTCGATACTTTTGTGTAAGGCATCGATACTTTCGATACATTTTCATTTTTTTCATTTCTTTTCAATTCCTAAAGTATCGATACTATGATGCAAATACTTTTAAAAGTATCGATACCTTTAACATATCCGGTAGCGCTTTACCGGTTTTATCATGTTGAAACTGGTTTTGTCAAATTTCAACATGTTATATTGTCATGTATCGATACATGTTTCTAAGGTATCGATACTTTATAGGCGCTATTATTGCAATTCTTTTAAATTCCTAAAGTACTGATACTTTGATGCATATACTTAGAAAAATATCGATACAAATTTCAACAATTTTAGTATCTCTACCGGTTTTGTCAAATTTCAACTTGTTATATTGTTATGTATCGATACATGTGTGTAAGGTATCGATACTTTCGAGACATTTTTCATTTTTTCATTTTTTCATTTCTTTTAAATTTCTTTTAAATTCCTACAGTACCGATTCTTTTAAATTTCAACAATGCCGATAGCTCTTTACAGGTTTTCTCAAAATTCAACCGGTTTTGTCAATTTCCATTTGGTTTTTGTCCAATTCGTTACTTGTTTTGTCAAATTGAAACCGGATTTCTCAAATTTCAACCTGTTATAAGCTAAGTTTGTCGGTTGCCAAATTTTTAAATATTTCTTCATATTTTCCACCTACAACATTCTTATTACTCAACATTTATGGTAGCGCTAAACTGACTTTATTAAATATCTTATTAAATTTTCGGTCACGTCATTTCTTAGCTGTATATTAGTCCGTCTTTCGCGATACATCCCTACCGGGTATGATGCAGCTGAGATAACATAATTTTTGCTGAATAGAACGGTGAGCGAAGCAAGTTGTCTCTTACATTTGGCTAGAAGGTCAACTATGATGTCGGTGAAAATTACGTGAAGAGTGCTTGAAAGTCAGAGATAACCGACAACATAAAAGATGAACAACAAGAAGCAGATTGATGGCAGTGTGCGACGCAAGTGGTGGGAAAGCTTGTGTTTCTAGAGCTGAAAACCATATTTATTATATGATGTTCATGCTAGAGTTATGATTTGGGTTGTCTAAAATTCGGATTCATATTTGGATCTCCCAACGTTCTGAATCTTGGGTTTCCCATACAACTACGAAATCTTGCATAGGAGAATGAAATGCTAAAAATTATACTTGATTGATCGGAAATATGGAGAGATATATAGTCAAGAATCACAATTTGGTGTCGGCCTAAATTCTTGGTATAACAATTGTAGTGTAGTTTAGGCCAGAGATTTAAATTGTGGTTGCGTTTTCAGTTGCCTCGAGTTTATTGCTATTGTAGATATAACATATGTTATTGCTCCCATTGCGTGTATTGTGGTCGTGCAATAACAGTTTCAGACGGCACTGTTAGGGCTATATAACGACCGTTATTCTAATAGCAGACCACTATTTAAATCCATGGTTTAGTTCATGTAATGGGAAAGCTAAAACAGGAGCAATTGTCTGTTTGGTTTTAACATGGTTGGGATTGCGTTGAATTTTTGTCTTAACGTCCGAAAGCTTAGAGATTTTTGTGGATCAAAGGGTTTTTTATGTTCAGTTAGTCGAAGCTTTCAACTATGATGCACTGTTTGAACTTTGAACTCTATGTTACTCGGACTCGGTTGTTAGTGTTGAATATTGATATATGTCTATGACATAGGCATGTTTAACCTTTTCTAAGTTTTTCCCATGAATTTGAAGGTTTGTCTGATCATACTCATGTCTCGATATGTGTCGAACAGGGATACCTTTAAGGATAAATGAATAGCCGGCGAAACGTAGAAACTAGCCCTCTGCCTTTTGAGCTTATACATTCATGCATTGTTACTATTTTCTCTCTTCCTTCCTACATATATGGTTAGTTTTTATGTATATAAGGTTGTACTATTTCTCAGCGGATAGGCCTTTATGTTTGACTGAACTTCTATTTGTGTGCTTTACGCGTTCTACGTACCATATGGTATATGTTTTTCTCCCCTCTGATGTCAGAATTCCATCAACTAGAGTTGATCTTGTTGTGGGACAAGGTTATACTTGGATATGAATATATGACCCTCGAAGAACCCTCTAAATAAATACATGAAAAAAAACTTAAAAATAATATAACATACTTGTCAGACACCTACAGATATCTGATACTCACACCCGAATTCAAGTAACATTGGTTGTTTCTGTCTTTCTAACTAAATTGCTTGTCAGACACATACCGATATCTCATACTCACACCCGAGTTCGAGTAATATTGGTTGTTTCTTTCTTTCTAACTGAATTGCTCAATAATCTGCAACAATTCGTATTACATGCAGCTCTGGATATTGTTCAAGATCTTGCATGGACCACTAGTGCAATGTGAGTTTTATTTTTTATGATATATCCCTTTTAGCATATTCCAGAGAACTCTCGAAAGTTTCGCTGTATTTCTTTCGTCTTACTGGCTCATTTCTGTTGCAGGTTCTTGAAAGCGATCGACAAATTCAACGATTTGGTGGTATCGGTTTATGTTACAGCTGATCATATCCTTTATAAGTAGTGCATTGACTTACATATCCATAACTTGACAGCTTTCGTTTCATTTCCCTCACGTTTATATTTCGGTATCGATGTTCCTAGTCTCGATTTTAGCATGTTTCCTTCACTTCACGACTTATGCTACAATGCTCGTAGCGAAGATGGAATCAAGAGCTTTTTCCAAGAGGTTCATGAGCTTTATATAAAGGTAACCACTTTACTTTGCTTCTCGTATCTGGAAGATAAATATTTCGATTTCTCCCTGCTTCCTTGTGTTGGTCTTTTGGATCAAATTCATGAACATTCTCATGCATGAGCTTTATTAAACGTATCAGTTCTGAGTCGACTGTTCGACGTATATAGCGCACACTATCTGACGTTGGATGATGTTTTGATTATCTAAAATTTGGCAATTGCAGAGCCTTCTTAATCCACTCTACTTGCCTGGTTCCCGCATTACTTCATCGCATTTCGATACGAAAGTCCATGCTCTTGCAAGAAAACATCTTTAGGCTTGCATTTGTTCTGTTGAAGAACTTGAAACCGAGTTTTTGCTGAATGCGTTTGTGTTTTTTTACGTTACCCGAGTCGGAGTTCGACTCGGGTTTTTAACACTATACCAAAAGACCACATGCCTATAGGCAGAATACAGAGTATTAAGATATGTATATTTATTTGTTAATAATTTTTATTATATAGACATCAAGACATTCGTATATGTATACCATACTCGTATGATATTCGTATTATGTTCTTTGTATTTTGTTATATTTTAGTTATTTTCCACGTAGATTTTGGTGTAGTGTGAAATCTACTCATGCATGATACTGTGGATACCAGACTGAAGGAACATGGAAAAGGTAAAAATGGTAAGCTTTTCAACGTCAAAAAGGGTATCCAATGAAGAATTACTATTATAAATCAATGCATGGGTTGAAAATATTATATTTTATGGCTTATTGTACAAATTAGTACCTTAACTTAGTAGTTTTTCTCAAATCAGTACTTAAACTTTTTAAATCAAATTGATACCTAAACTTGAAAAAAGAAGAAATGGTTTAAATAGACTAAAGGTTTTTGTACTTTTTAAAATTTAAAATTTAGTTTTTATATCATTTTTTTAATTTTTTTCTAATTGTTTTCAAATTAATGATTGGTCCGATCGCTGTAAAAAAACAAAAATATATTATTTTTAATTTCAATTTTTTTTCAATTTGACTCTTAAAAAATTATAAATTTAGATGATTAAAAGAACGAATTGTTCTATTAATGATAGGTTTTATTTATTTATTTTAACTTTAAGACATCAATATAATAATAATTCTTTAACCATTATTCAATTCAATTTAAATCTTGATTATAAATGAGTAGAGATTAATCAAAATTAACTTTTGAAATAAAATTTCATAAAGGGTAAATTACATCATTCCTTGCTGAATTTTGTTTTCTCCCCTATTTTATTCACTATACTTTCAATTTTTTCAATTTACTTATTGAATTTTGAATTACTTTTGTTTTGATCACTCTAAATTATTTTATTATTATTTTCATATGACATGACATTTTTTATTATTATTTAATATAAAAAAATTTAAAATATAAAATAAAAACATAAGGTGACATGACACCATCATGGGACATTGTAGACCATCGTAGATGGTGGTCGTTCGATCTCAAATTTCATGCGTCGGTTCGTCTCAACACCTTAAGTTCAAATCCGATCTCCATTTTTTGGAACTTGCTCGAAAGTCCATGAATTGGAGATCAAAAGTGAGAAAGTCGAAATTTTTCAATTGAGTTAACGAGTCTTGGGAAATTTTCCGATGAAACAACCACCATATTTGAACTCAGGGGCGAGGTGAACCAACCCATAAAATTTGGAATCGAACGACCACCATCTACGACGGTCGACAGTGGCATCCGATCACCTTCTATTTTATTTTATATTTTAAATTATTTTATATTAAATAATAATAAAAAATCCCATTTCATATGAAAATAATAATAAAATAATTTAGAAGAATCAAAACAAGAGTAATTCAAAAATTCAAGGAGTAAATTAGAACAATTAAAAATGCAGTGAATAAAATAGTAGAAACAATAAAATGCAGTGAGGAATGATGTATTTTACCCTTCATAATATTTAGTTTGTTCAAGTCGGGTAAAAGAAAACCGGAATCCGAAACGGAAAAGAGAAAACGAAGAGGTAAAGTTAGACAGTCCCCACTCAGCAGCTGCGACACTATTTCTGACTCGCTCGCTGACTCACTCACTCACTCACTCACTCAGTAAAAGAAATCCTTCCCAAATTTCTAAATAGAAATAATATTAAAGAAAAAGAAAGCTACCCAACAGAAAACTCTCTCGTTTTGAGTATTTTTTTAATTGTTTATTCTCCAGAATTATAAAAGAAAATAAATAAATAATAATACTAATGAAATTTGGTCTTTTTTCACCCACCGATTCGACACTCCTTTTGGTTTGATAACTTTTTTCCTCTCAAATTTCACCAGGATATGTTTCGTGTTCCACATCATCAGGTAACTTTTTATTTTCTTTTGATTTGAGTGTTTGGTTGCCAAGAAAATGCTGGAAAAGGAAGGAAAATTTGGTGAGTGTGAGTTTTTTTTGTTATCTTTCCAGGTTTTGAGCTTACTCAGAAGTAAGGAAATTTGGGTGAGTTTGGTTTCCTCTGTTTTTTTTTTTAAGTGTTTCTTCTTTGTTTTTTTTTTTTGGGTTTTTTTTTGAAGTGTTTTGAGCCAACTCTTCTTTTTGGGGAGTTTGATTCTTGATTTAGTTTGTTTTCTGGGAAATTTGTTGCTTTTCTAAGATTTATATGAGTATATGGTTTGATTTTGTTGTTAATGCTTAATATATCACTTACTCTTTTGTTTGCTAATCTAAAGAAATTGTACGAGAAAAGAAGGGAAAAGGGTATTTCCTCAGATTTAGGCCTCATTAACAAAGCCCTGTTAAAAAAATGGAAAAAAAGAAGTTGAGGTTTAAATGATCACTACCTAGGTTAAACTATTGCTATCCATTTTCCTTAGATTTGCATATCTTTGTGTTAGCTGATGTGATGGAAGGAATGAAATATGGCTTCTAGTGTTCAAAATTAAGCTTAATTGAGTTGAGCTAGAGCTTGTGTTAAGATATGTCTAATCCGAGGTCTGTCGTCTGAGAAAAAAGAACTTGATGGTGATTTACTACATTTGTGGGGCTATTTTGAGTGGGATTCTTTTGTTAAGAGTGTTGTAGCTAAAACTTTGCTGCATGGCTTGATTGTCGATCCTGGACTGTTGCGAGTCCTTGTTCTAGTTACAGGCTTTAGGGGGAATGCTTATTACGTGGGTTAGTTAAATCGTAGTACTAGGTTAGTCTAGCTCCACCTTATGTTTTTATGGTGCATAAAGAGTTGGAGGTAAAATGATGCTCACTAAGTCCATATCTTTATAACCTGGGTAATGCACGGAATGATGAGAGGAACTAGCTATTTTACTCACTAAGTGACAATACCATGTGATGCAGCTGTTTTTTTTAATAAAAAAAGCAATGAATATGAATTTTTCAACGATGCTTAAGTATGCTTTGTTTAATTGCTATTCTTCTGCACAATTTGATGCATGTGGTGCTGATCTTGTTTCAAGGATAAAGAGTTACATTTTGTTTACATTATTTCTTATTGGGCATTAATTTTCTTTCCCAAACTTGCTCTAACTCTTGAATCCGATATAGGCTTTACTGCATCACTGCAATCATTGTTAAGGAGCTACAAGAGGGATTTCAGTTGCATGATTCAATGGTGGCAAAAGGCTAGACGAGTTATGGACTGCTTTCAGAGTGTTAGCTGTGTTAAAGGTAAGTTGTTTGAATTGACTAATTATATCTACTTAATTTTTAGCTTAGACATGGCATTGTGCTGTTAAAAAAGTGGCAGAGGTCTCCATAAGTTTGAAGTTATAAAGGTTTCAAGTTGGCTTTTTCTTAATTTTAAGACATACTGGCTTTGATTTGCGGGTGTTATTGTATTATGATTGAGAGTCAATATTTCTAGGCATATTAGGCAAGTTCTTTGTTGTTATTTTGGACCCTTTATTTCTAAATTTGCTTGGGATGATAAGTTTTTACTTGAACTTCACACTTATAGGGAATCTTCGGGGAGTCACTATGCAGAAATAATTTATTAGAGTTTATATGATAGCATTTTCCTCAGTTAATGGTTAGCCATCATTATAATTGATAAGAGTTTTGGCCTAGATATCTTAGTTTTGTTCTTTGCTTTTAAACTTTAACCTTCGTTCTAGATATTACTATCTTTTAAATATTTATCCACTTATGACAGAATATGGCTTGTGTCTGGTTGCAGGTTCCCTATGCCAACAGTTATTATTATTCATTTTCTGGTTATCGAGTTTACAAGATGTTGCCACATTGCAGACGTTACATGACCCTAGCCATGTTTCTTCCACACCTGAGCTAGCTAATCCTCCGAGTACTGCATTATTTGAACCTATAGAAATAGCCCCTGCTGTCATTCCTAGATACCCTTATCCCGACGAATCTTTACCACCCATGTATCCAAATTTCCCCTCGACATATGAACCAAATTTAACTGGAAGGTGCCCTGTAAATTTTTCTGCTATGTCGAATATCATGGGGAAAACAGCATCTGATTGTTCTCTACCTTTGGCAGCACTTGTAGGAAATGTAATATGTTGTCCACAGCTTGGTAGTTTACTCCACATCTTCCAGGGTTACTACAGTGTTGACTCTGAACAGTTGGTCTTGCGAAATGCTGTTGCTAATGATTGTTTTTCAGATATCATTAGTATCTTAGCTAGCAGAGGCGCCAACAGTACAATACCCACAGTGTGTTCTGTAAAATCATCAAACCTCACAGGTGGTTCTTGTCCGGTGAAGGATGTTAACACCTTTGAGAAAATGGTGAATACGAGCAAGCTATTGGAGGCTTGCAGCACTGTTGATCCTTTAAAAGAGTGCTGCAGGCCAGTTTGCCAACCTGCAATTATGGAAGCTGCTTTACAGATTTCTGGAACACAAATGATGCTCAATGATAATAAAAATGTTGTTGGGGAGACTAGTCATATCGATGCCATTAATGACTGTAAAGGGGTGGTATTTTCGTATCTTTCAAGGAAACTCTCGCCAGATGTGGCCAACACTGCGTTCAGAATACTATCTGCTTGCAAAGTCAACAAGGGTACAGATTCTATATCTCTTTCATGATTGTTTTCAGTATTTTACTTTACATAGTTTCTGGCTGTTTACATGTTACCCAAGTCTCTGCTGCAAACTTGCTTGGGTGTGTATCATACCTTGGGAAGGTCAAGTTGAGATGATCTTGTATATGCATGGTGCCATCATTTGGTGAAAGAATGAAAATGGAGGCGATGGGTTGCCTGAATGGATGGTAGATTATGATATGCTTTCTCAGACTATTACATGTAGCTGACATCTGGACATGAGCATATAGGATTATGGCCGCCAAAAACAAAGAGAAAATTGAATATATGTGTCAGACACGTAACTGTTTATGTCATGCACACCCAAGTACGAGTATTGTGAGATTTATGTTTAAATTATTTGTTTCTTACATGTTTTTTTCATTTTCTTCTTTGATGCTGGTTCATTTTGTTTCTACTACATTACTTTAATATTGGGTAGAAATATTAAATATGAAAGATAATTACAACTTCATTTCCAATAGTAGACCGAGGCTGTCTTGACCTAGACATAAGTAGATATTAAATATGTTAATTTGAGCTTCTCGGACTTCCATAACAGGGTAAAGTCAAGTAAATGCATAGTTCTCGAATGAGCTTGAGCTTCCTTAGTTGTTATCTCTATCTTTTAATTCCCACTGTCAGTTCACATGGTTGGTTTCTTTTTGCATTGCAAGATATAGAATTTGTTTCAAATACTTTTTGAGTTTTATGTTTTGTCTACGATGGGATATTTTTTTTTTGAATATGCAGTTTGCCCTTTGGAATTGAACCAGCCGTCAGAAGTAATTAAGGCATGTCGTAATGTAGCTGCTCCAAGTTCTTCCTGTTGTAGCTCATTGAATACATACATGGCAAGGATACAGAAGCAAATGTTGATTACAAACAAGCAAGCAATTGTTTGTGCAACAATGTTCGGGTCAATATTAAGAAAAGGTGGAGTTCTCACAAATGTTTATGACCTTTGTGATGTCGACTTAAAAGATTTTAGTATCCAAGGTATTGTGTTCTGTTTGATGCTGTTCTTCTAAAACATTGCCCATTTTGCTCTTCAGTTTTATCTGATATTGAGGTTTTCTTCTTTTCTTTCTGCCCATTGAATTCTTATGGGCGGTCCCTACAACAGCATATGGACAACAAGGTTCGTCATGTTTCCTATTCACTTTCTACCTCCCATATTTGCACAATCATTGGTTAGAAATGTGAATGGTGTACGCATGACTGTGTGTGTTTTATGTATGTTGGTGTATGTGTGCTATGGTCAAGGTTCAATGTGTTATATGCATATTGGTTAAGTCGTTTGATGTCTTATATGCATATCGCTTAAGTCATCAATAGACCCCCTTTTATGTTTTAAAATATGTACTTGATGATCTTGTTTGTAGCCATGTCAGATGCATGCTCATATCCAACACGCACTCGAGTCAGAGTGACATAGGTCTTAATTGGTTAGATGATTAAACACTAAAACTTGAAAGAAATTAAAATGTGCTTTGGAGACTGAAAATTTTGGTAATTTCTACATATCTAGGATGCCTACTACGAAGCTTGCCAGCAGATGTGGTATTTGACAATGCAACTGGCTACAGCTTTACCTGTGACTTGACTGACAACATTGGTGCCCCATGGCCTTCATCATCGTCGATGTCATCCTTGTCGCTTTGTGCTCCAGGTAATTGTTTACAGAAAAAAAGGCTTTCATATGTTTGGTTCTCTCTTAGAAGGGAATTGAAGTGTGGATTCAAAAGAGGATGCGTGCTTCATCTTATATTCTAATGGCTGTTGCCTGCCTTTGCAGAAATGTCGTTGCCTGCCTTACCAACATCTGAGACGCTGAAAAATCCCGGTGCGTAACATGTCTTATTTGTATTTCCTCTATTTGGTTAACTACGAAGTATACATACCTAACACCTGTATCCAATACGTATTCGGGTATGGGCATGGATAGATGACTCTCTAGAGGCTCTCCAAATAAATGGAATAAATCCGACACTTGTAAGTCTGAGTAACATAGATAGGCTCGGTTTAAGTAACACTAATATATATAATGAAATTATAGGTTCTTTTCCCTGAATATCTTGAGGAATTTGATTTTGTTGATGCAGGCTGCCATGGATGCACATTGGAAATGTTGGTACCCATTTTTTCATTTTTTGTTTTCTGTACATTTTTGTACTAAAGAAAGTCTGTAGTTTACAGGCTGAGCTGTGATTTACAAAAAAAGTGTAGGACCTGTGTGGTGGACAATTTTACTTGCATTGTATGTTTTCATTAGGCTTTTTTTCAGCAGCCTTGTATAGTAAGTAATCTATTCTCCTCATTTTCACTGCTTTCCGGACCGGATTGATTCGGTTTTTGGATAAAATTGCTATTGGTGTATAGTATTTTTTTTTTATTCTAGAACTAAACTTAAACTGAATAGAATTCTCTAACTGGATTGCTTGTAATTGAGTTTCTCTAGTTTATAAAATTTTATTTTATTGATAACGGTACGTTCGGTTCGTTTTTATTATATTTCTCTCTTTTTTTCTAACCAAGCTTTCCCTTAAGAGAGGGGGGGGGGGAAAGAAAAAAAAAGGGGAAAAGATGCTTTTCAAAAGTAAAGCGTAGAAAGAAAGGTACTTTCCCAAAGCAAAGCATATATAGAAGGCCTATCATTTTCATGTGAATCTGTACGTGCAAATCGCTTGTGGGTTAAGTCATAGGATTAAACCGGCTTAGCTTAGGTTACTATAATAAAATCATGTATGACTAGAATATGTGTATATATACATTGAAATAGGAAATTCATTAGATTCTAATAGTATCCAGGATAATTACAGACTTGATATATTCAGGTTTGTCATAATAAAATCAGTATGGATTGGATCTCGACAAAGCCCATTGTGCAAGAGTGTGTGCCACTCTGTTCGCCTTGCGGTTAGCATAAAAGATTTTAATGTCACAATGAGCAGCAATCCAATGATTGAAACGTCCTCCCTTAATCTATTGATAATGGATATCGCATCTTTTTTGATAATGGCGTTAGTTCATCCATTCTCAATGGCGAATTTTATCCCTTGAGTGAAAGCAACCACTTCTGAAGATTCTGTTGTAAAGGGTGGATCAATTTGTCTACACATTCCCCTAGAACCATCACATTGTGATCTCTAACAATCACGCAAATAGCCGCAGTATTCTCCGATGGCTTAAAGGCCCCATCAACGTTGATCTTTACATTGTTTGTATCTAGGCGGTTCCATTTGTGAGATTTGAAAGACCTTTATTGGGGGAGTGAAATAGTCTTGTTTGTTTAGCTTTGGAAAATTCGGCACATAGTCCCCAAGCAACCATCACCATATCTCTATCCTCCTACATCTCCTCATCGTAAACCCATTTGTTTTTGCATGTCCACACATTCAACATGAGCATCATTAGTCTGGTTAAGCCTTTCATGTCAAGCCGGGTAGCAGCCCACTCCAACCACTATTTACAGGAATTTCCTTGCCAATTAATGATGGAGATGTCCAACCCTGAAATAGATAGAATTGACTGGGTCTTGGGGCATTCTTTGAATGCTTGTATCTGAGTTTCAAGTTCATTCCCACATGGGGCAGGTCCCCTCTGTTAGCCTGGCGTTCTTCAGTTTTTCACCGGTTGAGATCGTCTCATGGCACAGTCTTCATCCGAAAATCCTTATTTTTGGTAAGGTAGGCATCTTGTTGACATCCTTTTAGATTTTCCCTAATTTACTCGGGGTGCCCTTCTTTATCATAAGCCAGCTATATCCTAACTTAGCTGAGTAACATCCTGTCTGTGATGGCTCCAGATCAATTTATCCTCTAAGTTGGAGAGATAAGAGTAGAGAGGACCTTTTTAGCGTCTTTAAGTGTGAGTACCTGATGGGTCTTGCTCTCGTTCCATTTTGATGAATTCGAGATCATAAAGTTCACACATTTGAAAGGTGAGTCCATGTTATCCTTGTAAGTGCATTACCAATCAATTAGGGAAATGTCTCCCCATTTATCCAAAAAACATTCTTGTTTTCCCCTTGAATGTGATTCTCCAAAAGGAGCTCTCTTTAAGAGCCTCATTTGTTTTGTAGATCCTTGTCCAGGCATAAAAGACACTATCTTCTGTTTTGCCATAAAAAAAGGAGGACGAGAAATACTTTGCTTTAAAGACCTTAAATGCCAAAGAGTTGTAGACCTGAAAATTCTCTATATTTGATTCTTGATCAGTGCATGATTGAAAAGCTTGAGGTCCTGGAACCCTAGGCCTCCTAGCCTTTCTGATCTACAGACTTTCTCTCATGCAACCATTGCCCAACCCCTCACTTTATGCTTTCCGAACCACCATAAAGACTTAATTTGGGAGGTAATATCTTCAATGATGCCCTCGGGAAGAAGATAACATGACACTGCATAAGTGGGATGGGCTTGACCCATTGATTTAAGGAAGATCTCTCTACCTCTGAAGGAAAGTAAGTTCTTAGTCCAACCTTAGATTCATTTAGTCGTTTTGTCCTTAGCAAAGCTAAATGTGGGAACTTTCATTTTTCTTACAATGAAAGGCAGTATAAGTTTTTTTTCCTCCACTCCAAAAACTTGTCTAATGGTTCTTCGGTGCTTCGGGTGGGTGTTGTTGCTTAAGGAAATGCTGGATTTTTCGTAGTTTACTTTATAGCCCGAAGATTGCTTATAATCCTGGAGGGTTTTCTTTACATTTTGGGCTTCCAAAAGGGAGTTCTTGATCAATAGAATGCTATCATCGGCATAGAGGAGGTGGGAGATTCTAGGGCCTCGTATACTTGCTTTCACACCCTTTAAGGATCCTTTCAGCTGAGTATCCAGTTGAAGCGCTAAAAGACCCTGCACACAGAAGATGAACAAATACGGGGAAAAGGGGTTTCCTTGTCGGAGTCCTCTTTTAGGAGTAAAACAGTCCGATAGATGTCCATTGATTCTAATCTAATAAGTGACAGTGCTTATGCATCTATTGATTAGAGAGACAAAATTCTCATTAAAGCCCATTTGAGTCATGAACTTAATAACAAAGTTACATTCCACCCTATCATAGGCCTTTTCTATGTCCAGTTTTAGAGCAGCCCTTTGTTGGGGTTGTTCTTAGAACCCTTTAGATAGTGGAATTAATAGTTCATGAGCTACCAAGAAGTTGTCAGAGATTCTCTTACTAGGGATGAAAGCACATTGATTCACAACAATACATTGATACATAACAAGCTTAAGGCGATTGACAATAAATTTATAGACAACTTTATAAACCACATAACAAAGACTAATCGGTCTAAAGCTTTTCATTGACTCAGGATTACTAATTTTAGGGATGAGAACAATGACAATTTTTATTAACATTATGCATGTTAGCTTTCCCATTTAGCAGGTCAAGGCATAGCTTAAATATGTCATTTTTAGAGATGGGCATGGGACTTAAACCCGATAGGTTCTGACTCGATCGGGTCGGGTTTTTTAAAATAAATTTCGAGATTGGGTCGGGTCGGATCAGATTCGAGATTAGGGTGAAAAATACCCGATGTGACCCGACCCAAAAAAAGTATAGTTTTACCTTATATATTTAGGAATAATTACAATAATACCCCTCTATATATTATTTTTTCAATTAAATTATTGTTTTTATTGAATAAAAATAATATATTATTATTATTTTGGGTCGGATTCAGATTTTATCTCAAAAAGTCGGGTCGGGTGGCGAGTATATATTATGCGGGTCAGATTTCGGGTGAATGAGTCATTGTTCTCAGGTCCGGTCGGGTGAACCAAAAATCCTACCCAATCCGACCATCCCTAGTCATTTCCAAAAACATCCCAAAAAGAGCGATAAAAGCAATCCAATAGACCGTCAATACTGGTGCTTTGTTTGGATTGATTTGGGAGAAGGCTTGGAGGACTTCTTTGGATATGGTCACAACAAAGCTTTGAGTTGTCCTCTTGGGACATACATATGTAAATGGCATCCAATATTGCTTTCAAAGTTTCCATTCTCGAAGATTGGAAGAGAGATGAGAAGAATCAGGTGGCCACCCCAAACCATTGGCCTTAGCACGAAAAAAGGTGGTGTTTGTGTCGCCTTCTTTGAGTCAGGCGAATCTAGACCTTTGTCGCTAATAGTCCTCATCTTTATCAATAAGCTTCTTGACTTCTCCTTTAAGGCTGATAATACGAACGAAAGAATCATCAGTGATTGGATATGATTCAAGCTTTTCAATCTTTGACATGAGTACTTGTTCTTTTTTTCCTTGTTCATTCTCGTTATTTGCTAGTTTCCCAACCTATTCCCAACTTCTTGCATCTTGGCTAACCTAGTCCTCGGGGTCTCATTCTATGTGTGTTTGACCACTACTTTGCACTACTCCTTTTTGGCCCAGCATGAATCAAATTTGAACTAATCCCCTTAAAAGCCTGAGAGGAATCTCGCGAAACACCATTCAAATTGACCAGGATTGTAGTATAATTGAAATAGAGAGTCAATTAGACGGAGACACTAAAATCTTTAAATATCTAAATCTAGTTTGGGGTTACAACAAACCTATCCAATCATTCCCGAATTTGATTACGAGCCTCCCTCCCAAAGGTTCACGTAAACCACCCAGTTTTTTGTCTCAAGTCCTACAAATTAACCATTTGCAATCCCATTCTAAAATCGTTCATATCAACTCAAGGTCTTCTCATGCCTCATATCTTCTCGTTAGGGTGAATTATCTCATTAAAGTCCCCTCACGATCTAAGGCAATCTAGAAAGCCTCGCAAGTCTATTAAGAAGATCCTAGTTTTCTTTCTTTATATTACTAGCACACCATCCATAAAATCAAATAAAGCGGAAATGGTGATTGTGCCAAGAGACATTCGCATCAATATGAGAGTTAGAGTAGCCAAGAATCAATACATCCATATCTTCATTTCACATTAACAAAAGAATAGTACAATCATTGGAATTCTTGACAACAGAACAACTTTTCATTCCTACTCTAGCCCTAAACTTTTTGAATTTGTTCTTTATAATCCTAGATTCAGAGACTAAGATAAATTTTGGGCCTTTTTTATGATAATTCTTTTAATATTTTGAATTACCGTTGGGTTCCCTATCCCGCGATAGTTCCAACAAAGGGCTATCATGGGGATTAGTGGGGTTGTTCAGCAGCCGCTGCTGTTGGGTCAACAAAGTTCATTCCTTCAGTCGGAGGCTCGATTTGGTCTTTCTCCTCAGCAATTTCTACTTGAGAGTTCATAGTGGTCACTGTATTAG